GCCAGGTAGTATGATAGGTACAAAGAAGTGTAAAATATGGTCTTTGTTCTCAAGGATCTCAGGATGGAGGGAAGACAAAAGCAGTTTAAATGAGACAAGTTTGCTAAGTACCAAATGAGTGGTACAAACAATTATTACCAGGGAAATTTTGAGAAGCAAGAAACCAGTAGTTCTGGGACAACTACTAAGATATAAATAAATACAAAAGAGAGGATAAATGTCTAGCTGCCAGTTAGCATTTATAAAGGAATAATAGGGCAACAGGGTATCTTAATACATATTTCAACTCTGCCCACATATTTATATATGGCCTTGTTCACTTAGCCTTCCTAAGTTTTAGCGTTCTCACTGAAACTTACCTCTTAGAATTTGGTAATTATTACTGAGGTATGTGATTCAGGCCTGGGAACGGGTAACTGGGACAGGAAGCTAAATACTATCGTCATGATAAGGTCTGAGGGGATGCCAAACCTGGAGAATCTTTGGCAAAGTTATATTGGCTGCTTGATTTAGGGACAGGCCAGATCCTGAAAATATTTTTATGTAGTTTTTGAAGATTTCCTTAATTTAAATTTCCTTTGAATATTTCATGACAAGGGTACTTTTATTAAGTTGATTCTTCCAGTGGTGTTCTGTTTTGACACTCTTTTTTTTACATGATGTTTCTAGAAACGTCATTTTCATTTGTATGGGGTTTCTCAGCTACAGCTTAAGAAAGGGGGACATTTTAAGTATAAACTGTTCCTTACATCATAGACATTAGCAATGACAAAATTATAGAACTGCTAGATTTATTTAATGTGGTATAGGCAGATCTGGTGGCCAAGCCTACAGCTGCTGAAATAAGAGTACAGAGAGAATCTGAAATATATCTTGAGACAAGTAAGCAGTATTATCCTCAGTAGAAAACATAACATGTTGCCTCATTTTTCTTATATATAAGGACTTGGTTTCCCCAAGACAGAAATCTTAAAGGAATACAAACTACCGTAGGAACGTATGAGTTTTGAGTTATTTTCCTATAATAGTAATAGTATAATTATGATCTTACCTTCCCTTGAATGATTAAGTGCTAGAATGTATAAAATAACTGCATAGAATTTGAACAAAGACTCTGACCAAGAAAACAGAATGTATCTAACTGTGGATTTAAGCCATGGTTTTTCCTTTTTTGCATGAACAAGCAGTCTTCTTAACCTTCTCAACTTCCAAGTCCAGCTATGCAGGGCGCTGCAAAGGAATACAATTATATTCCATACTATATACTACATATAAATTCATATACATATAAATTCAATATAGATAGTGTAGCCCTAACCAGTTTGGCTCAGTGGATAGAGCATCGACCTGCGGACTCAAGGGTCCCGGGTTCGATTCTGGTCAAGGGCATGTACCTTGGTTGTGGGCACATCCCCAGTGGGGAGTGTGCAGGAGGCAGCTGATCGATGTTTCTCTCTCATCGATGTTTCTAACTCTCTATCCCTCTCCCTTCCTCTCTGTAAAAAATCAATAAAATATATTTTTAAAAATATATAGAGATAGTATATATACACACACACATATATGCATACACACCTATGCATACACACACAACAGAGGGAAAACCAGTAAGAAAGTGCCTTGAAAGAATCAATTTTCAATATTTTTTGTGAATGAAATAACAATGTTTAAGGTTAATAACTATCAATCCTACTGATAACCATGCTTAATTGGAAGCTAGATAGCGTGACCCTCATTAATGCTAATAAACATTAATCGTTACTTAGAAAAATTATAAATTTGGGTTTTTTTAAATCTAATTTTGGATTTGCAATAAGATCTTTGCTTACATGGACTTTTCAAATGAAACAAATGTGGTATAGATGGTATTTGAAATAAAACTATTAAGGAGGCAAATAACATGAATAATCAGAAATACAGTATCAGGTTAAATACATCAAGAATTATGGGTGAGCACACTATTAATTCACTTCCCCTAGAAGGGGAAAAACTAATGTTGAGCTTATTCTAGTCCCAGGGGCTAAGACATGGCTATATTCTATATTTTACCTTAAAACAGTTCTGTGAGGCAGAGGTCATTATCCCATGTTATATTTGAGGAAACTAAGTCTCGACATGATTAAAGAATTTGCCCAAGAGCACACAGCTAACATGTGGTGGAGCTGAAGACCGGCTCTAGTGTTCACTATTTCAAAGTACCTTAGGAATAGAAAATTCAACGAACCCATTTTGGATGCCTATTAGGTGAAAAGCACCAGGCCAAACATGAAAAATATACATCCTAATCTTATGGATTTTTTCAGTACAGGCAGGACCAGCTATATCAAAAAGCAGGCCTCTTTTCAAAATCATTAAAAATTTCAAGATGCTGACATCAGAGCATTAAACTGATCCTGGAGCCTTGCTAAAACTGATCCTGGAGCCTTGCTAAGCACAGAGCCTTGTCACATGCCCATGAAGTTAGCCCTGAGTACTGGAGCCTACTGCCTATATTTGTTCCGCCATGAGCTAAGAACAGTTTTCACATTTTTAAATAGTGGTGGTTTTTTAAAAGAAGAATATTTGTGACATGTAAAGATGATATAAAATTCAAATTTTAATGTCCATAAATCAAAGGTTATTAGAATACAGCTACACTCATTCTTTATGTATCCTATGGCTGTTTTTGCGCACGAAAGGCAGAGTTGAATATTTGCAACAAAGACCACCTGGCTGGCCCACAAAGCCTTAAATATTTACTATCTGGCTCTTTACAGAAAAAGTTTGCAATCCCCTGTTCAGGCAGGAAGGTAGAAAACAAGTAACAAAAGAAAGGAGCACTAGAGCGGTATGGGGATTGAAAACAGAGAAACCACACTAGATTGGAAATATCAGAAAAGATGCTCTTTCTTGGAGGAAGTAAGGTGACTGAATAATAGGCAGGGGTGGGAGAGGCATTCCAGGCAGAGGAAATCACCTCTACACACCAGAGAAGTCGGAAAACACTATATATTTGGGCAAGATGAAAAGTCCACTCTCTCTGTAAGACAGTTTTAAGTGAAAGGGAAGACACACGAATTTTAACTTTATTTTGGTAGAGCAGGAAGCAACTGAAAGCTCTTTGGGGAAGAGCTCAGTAAGCTTGAATACAGTATAATTAATCTGGCAATGGTGTGTGTAGAATGGATCATAGAGGAACAGACCAGAGACCCAATGGCAAGGTAGGAAGGGATAGCTTAAGTCTAGGGGTTGAGAAGGAATGCCAACCTAAGCAAGTGTGATCTTAGTAGAAATTAGTTATTATTTAACAGATGGGCCAATTGACTTATGGTTTAAGAAAAGGCCGAGAACAGTGTCAGCTGGAAAAGTAGGTAATTTCAAATATGGTGATACAATTAACAAAAGGAGAGGAAACTGGTTTGGTGACAAAAATGATGAGTTCAGTTCGCACACATGACCAGTTCAAGTTGCCAGTGCAATATCCTGGTGAAGATTTCAAGGAGATAGGAATAGGGGCTCAAACCCAAAAGTGATTCGATGCTAAGAAATGCAGATTCTGGCATTCTCTAAACAGAGATAATAGTTTAATACAAGTGTAATGATTTCCAGTATAACAGAGGAAAACAAATGTATATTAAATTAAAATAAACTACTTTACACATTCTCTCAAATTCTAAATAATCCTAGCTTCAATCTTTTAAAATTGAGTCTTTCTGAAAGGAAAAAAAATAAAAATCTGTTGCCTAAGGACAAAAAACGTTCAGAAAGAATAAAGAAGAGAACAGTCTACCCAGGTAACGTTTGCTTCCACGAACTAAGAGTTCCAGGCTTTCAGACTTCTCAAAGTTGCATGCAGTAACTGAAAAGTCAGTAAGGTCAAATTTATTTGAAATTCATTCACTCAGAATGTATAATTCCTATAAACCATTCTGGAATTTGCTTTTGAAATTTCCATTAAAAAACGGTTTTCTAAGGAAACATAATATTACTGAAATATGTAACATATTCAATTAACCTAAATTGTAAAACACCAAGAAAGCACGTACATACAGAAAACTTAGGGTCATTATAGTTCATTCTTATCTATTCCTTTTACTTTTCAATAAAAAAGGAGCGAAATCAATCATACCTTTCATTAACCTTCCAAATTTATCAAAGTTCATAAAAAATATTTCAAGAATAATACGGGGCTCATGAACTATGAACTAAGCAAAAGTCTTCAGTAACACCCCCAACTCCTACTATCCCTGCACTCTTTGCATCTCTTCGTCCATCAAAACCTTGTTTCATAAAACCTTGTACTAAGAGTAGTTGTATTTTAGGCTTTTCTCTAAGAAAGGTTAAGTTCCCGCCCTTTTTGGAACAAGACATTGTTTGGAACAGAAAGTGCCTTCTGTTGCCCAGTACTGTAGTCAGATCATAAACCTACCTGTGGGTAATCCTTTAAATTGCATTTCAACAGGCAATTTATTTTATGCATATCAACAGTGATTTAGGTACAAGAGTACAAAGTTGTTTGGGATCATCGATTTGTTAACTGAGTTTAGCAAAGCAATGTGGCAAGAGTTCACCCAGGTGAAGACACCAGTGGATAAAATACTTGCCAATTCAAAGGAAAATCCATTTCAAGAATGCAAAAGGCTATGTATGCCCTGGCCTAGGGTCCTTCACGGAGCGCTCGGTGCTTGCAACTGCGCGCTCAGTTACCTCTCCAGCCCCGCTCCCCAGCACAAAGGGACGCGCGGGCGCCCACTGTTGGGTGACGTAGGTGACTGAACTACAGTTTGCATCCAAGACACCTTCCGAGTTCTGGAGGGCTCCTGAGCCCTTCGCAACTCAGTGCGCCGCGGGGCCCGGAAGCCCGCAGGCGAATACTCCCCGCGCCCGAGCGGTGGGGGGCGGGAGGAAACGCCGCGAGGGGCGCCGAGCGTGTCGGGTCGGCGCTGGTGTGGTGGCGCGGAAGCCCCGCCCCTCGGCTCCCCTCGCTCCGCCCCTCGGCCCCGCCCCTTCCCGGGCCGCGTACCCGCGCGCCCCGCCCGCGGACGGAAGCGAGAGCGAGACTGAACGCCTGACGTCAAGGCGACACCGCCAAACCTCGCCCAGAGTCAGGCGTGTAAAGCAGCCGGAGCGGCGGCAGCGCAGGACCGCCGTGGCGCCGGGAGCAGCGACCCGGAGGGAGCGCAACGCGTGGGGCGACGCTGGCTACGGGGACCCGCTGACAGCGTGAGAGGTTCGCAGAGTGCGTGCGTGGCCGCCGAGG